AAGTATCTGTCACGTCGAGTAACCCAGTTCAACATGAACTGACGGGTGCTCACTCAGGATAACATTATGAACCCGCTGTTTGGGAGCATTTATTAGTTTAACACCCATGAAGGCAGGGGACAATGAATTGCATCTGACTCCTCCAACTCAGCACAAGCAGTAGGCATTTAGTTGCGTAATAGTCCTATTTGAGGCTTTATGCCTCCAAAAACACACTTCCAACAATAAGCAATGATGACCTTTCATTTAGTGGCAAGAAATTCAATAGATTTCATTCCTCATTCTGATTTTTTAGAACTTTTTTTAACAGAGGGGCTTCATTAGGAAGAAGCTCAGGAACATCACACACAAAGCACATCAAATCACTTCACTGCGGTGTCACATGTATTTATTGAAAGTCACGTCAGCGTGGTGTCCTTCTGGTTCCCCATCAGCTTTCTCCAAGCTCTCTGCAGGACGACTCTGCCCATGAGGAAGGTGATGGCCAGGTTGCGCCGATACCACTCCCTGCCAACAGAAGACAAGCACAGGGTGACTCCCAGCACCACCCCTCTGGCACAGCGAAGCAGACCTGTCCACACGTTACAGCTCCTGCTCCAGCAGAAAAACTGCAGACATGACAGCACAGCACACAGGCTAATGTGTGAACTGAGCAGACTTCACTGGAGGAGCAGCCCGAGCCTTTATCTCAGCAGCCTTCCCAGCTTGAAAGTGGTTTCAGTTTGCTAACTGTCAATCAGCTCCTCCTCCTCACCATGGTAACAAGTGCTGCTTCTGTCACTGCTCACTTCCATAATGGCCACGACCACAAACCACAGACAGGACTATAATTCCAGCTACAGCAACCCGAACCGATTCTCCATCACCAAGCAAACCAACGGACAAACAGAAAGGTAGTTACCTGTTGTAGCTGGAGTGTTTCTGACGGTTCTTGTCCAGGAAGTCTTTGTAGAAGACTGCCATCTCATCGGCGCTCAGAATTCTTCTCCTGCCTGGCCAACAAAGACAACGGAACAAAAGCACGACCTGTGCTTAGAGGACTGAGTATAAACCCAATTCTACTCACACCATGATTCATCCTCAATACATTAGCATAATAGCACACCATCAGAGGAAAACAGAACATGTTGAGCAGATTATATAACCAGGCAAAGAGAGAGAGAATTGGAGGGGTAGCCTCCACTCACCATCTTCGTCCCTCAGTCCCAGCCCCTTTGCCTTCAGAGTCGACAAGACAAACTGTTCTTTCTCCTGAACAAAGCACAAGAAACTCCTTAGCAACGACCGCCTAACCAAATAATGATATAAGTAGTTGTGACACATAAAAAGCAATTTTTCAATGCATTAAGACAAGGGGATACAATGATGATAACACAAAATGTTTCGTAACAAAAACAAAAGGGGATTGTTCCTCTCATGAAGTCAGAGGTCACACACCTTATCCTCACAAAGAATTGCTAAGATTTATAGTTCTCTTTCAGCTCTACACATCTATCCACCCAGTATCTGCAAATGTTTTTTTTTCCTAAGTGTCATCAGAGTCCCAAGTCTTGTTTACCTAAATTTACACCCAGGAGGGTTGATAACTGTGCAACCAGTGGCTAAAGTCTGACTATAAGTTTAAAGACAAAATTAACCAATAAACACACCAGCTTTCCCATGTCAACAGCAACACTGAAGGGGAAAAACAGCTGAGTTAGCTTTGCTTGACTTACTTGAAGCAACAGCAATTCATTTTAATATGAATATTAATTTCTAGAATTGTAAATGCAATCTGCGCTTGTTTGGACAGCACAGCACTTGATCAAACTCCAAAACAACCATCAGTTTGTATTCAGTTCTGCTAAGTAGCCTCACACATGCCATTATCTGTCACATCAAAAACTTATCTGGGACACTGCAGACCAGGCTGATCTGTGGTCTGAGGACGTGAAGCATGCGATGTTCGAATAATGTTTAAATCCAAATTGAACTGAGAAACATGGGGGTGACTGCTGTTGCCTCGTGAGTCTTGGTCCCTGGGTTTGATCCCCAGTATCTGCTGCGGGGAGTTTACTATGGTTTCATAACACCTACCTAACTCACGGCTGGTTGGTTAACTGGCATCACTAAAATGCACATGTGTAGACAGCCCAAAAAAATCAAAGAGGGCTTTCTGGTAATTTTTGGTTGAACATCACAAAGCTAGGCTGCCCTGCCACCTACTGGACAAACATTGTTTTACACACTAAAAAACAAGGGGCCATTCGATCAGGAGGGAAAAGACTTTCGCTCTCCACACCCAAAGTAAGAGTCACGACACGAAAACAGGCCAGGAAAGACCAGTGCTACCACAGACCCTGCTGAAAGACAAATTCTGATTGGCCCAGAACTGCTGGTTCCAGTCCTCCGTTTCCTGCCTCAGGCGCCTCAGCCTGGCTTCCGTGGGGCTTTCCTTCTCAGGGATGTGGAACCTGATTGGCCGGAGGTTAGACAATCCATCCGGAGGACCAATCCAGTCACATCTGCTGCTGGTGGGAGGGGTGAAACCTGACCTCTGTGGAGACAAATACAGGTAAGGTAGTTATGAGAGAAAATCAGAGAGGGCCAAACTACACAAGGCCCATCAGTCTGAAAATTTCAGAAGCCCGACACAGTGGACTGACAAATTGCCCTTTTAACCTCTCATTAAAATTGGTCTAAATATAGCAGACATCACAGGAGAGAGAAAATGTGGTTTTCTTTCACGCCAATCCAATACCTAAAGCGGACTTCTGGCATGTACTGTTTCTTATCCTGTATTCTATTTTAAGGTCATTGCATAAAAGCATGATTCACAACTGCATGAAACCTCTCTTCCTGACTGCTCTGGTGGATATTCAAGAGATTCAAGGCAGGGAATCACACCTTGCACTGCCAAAGCATCCTGCAGCCACATACAATCTCAGGAGAGAAACATTTAAATGTTAGGAGAGTGTGCAGTACAGGGAGGAAAATCCACTTCAGGAGACTCTTATAAACAAGGTGCAGCTCCGTGCTGAAACGAGTTATTATTAAACACATTTTCAGTTAAAATTTCACAAGCTAAAAACACTACTTTTTTTAATCTTTCGGAATACCCAGTGGCTTGGAAATGTGTCTGGTCGGATGAGTAGAGAAGAATTAAAATCTGCGGACATTGCTTGCTGTATAGGGAAGATGCATCTCAGGACACTCTTGAAATAAACAATGTGTCTGTAAGAGATGTTAATCACACTGCGATGCTGTAATAAAGAGGTTTTTAACTTCAGACTTATCTAAGGGTGACTAAAACTACAGTACTTCTGCAGAGCGATATATCTTAAACACTGATGCATTCAATGTGCTCACAACCATTTATTAATTTCCAAGATATGAAAAAGCGATGTTATGTCGTAAAATAAAAATATATACAGCGTATACTGGACTTAACCATTCCCACCTCGCCTGGCCTCTTCTCCTGTTTAACGGGCTCTCTTTCACTGCTGTATCTCAGTCGTCCCGACAAAACACCTGCTGCATACCGGGAATACGTCAGTTTACCGTGATGGAGCGATCGCCACGTCCGAATTCCTGACAATTTTATACTCATCTCTGCCTTATTCCTTCAAACCTCTTCTCCACTCGCTGACCTCTTCCAGAAGCAACCTAACCCACGAACTTGAGCCCCACGTGACTACCCCGTGAGCTTAAGAGGCTGGACAACAAAATCCTTACGCGGAAATCCAGCGCCCCCTTCCACTTGTAACCATCCACAATCACGAGTTTCGTTTTATCGTGCAAATTCAAGAGTTTTGGTGGAGTTTACACTATATATTGCATTATCAGTAGTGGGTTGATTTTTTTTTATGAATTCAAAACAACTTGTATAGCACAAAGCAAATATGTCGAAAACAATGACGCGAGTTGTTGTTTAAAACGACAAGATTAAAAATGGAAGGTGTGTAAATGGGGTTACAGAGGGGTAAGTTTTCAATTCTTTTCGAGGTGATTTGCGGAGAGTAATTGCCTCTTTCAAAAGATATTTACTGCGGCGACAGCGAGGGTGATACTGTCTCACATCAGGGTCCATGGAACTTCGGGATTTCTACACTTGGACCGTTCCGTGTGCGGACCTCTGTCGTGACGTCACTCGGCCGGCCCGACTCTTCTCCCGGCAGTGGAGCCGTGCGATGAGGATTGTTGTGCGTTTCTCTCTCCTCCCCTACCGAGCTGATGGCTGTCCGCTGGTTATGCAGGTAAGACGCACACCGCTACCCTTGACCCCTCTCTTTGGTACGGAATACCTCAAGCGTAAATTGCTGGAATTGCCTTTTTTGTTTTTACTCATGGGTGAGGTTGTTACCGCCGCTGTCAGTCAGTTCTTTCTCAGCCTTTCTCGAAATTCTTACTGTTGACAAAGGATTTGAAAGGACCTGCTGTTATCAGTAAAAAAAAAAAAGATGTAGCAGTGTCAATTAAGGATGATTTCGGATTTCGTAAAGCGATCAAGGGTGCCCATCGGAGACGTTTTCCAACAGGTCTAGTGCTGACAGTGTGATACACATGTTTCGCTTCAGCGAGGTGTTGCTATTTGAATTTGAGCCGAGCTCTGCTACAGAAAACGTAAGGGCAGTGCCATTGTTTTTAGGCAGTGAGAATGCACCGTACGGTAGATATGCAATACCGTGGCTACTTACCCGTCCGGGACAAATTCACAGCTGTCATCCGCTTATCGTTAAGAAAAAAAAAATGGTTCAGGTTGTGCGGAGCAGGGCGCCTCTTACAAACTGCACAGGTTGAAGCCATCCTTTCGCTATAGGGCCAGAGATTTGATTTCGTGCCGCTCGGTGCACCTGTCGCCCAGAGAGGGGATGGTGCTGTAGGAGATGAGCTTGGTGGCACTAAGATTTTCACCTGCATGACGGCCTCGATAGCCCCCTCCGAGGCCTCTGGTGTTGGAGAGAGCGTTAATTGTGCTTTGGCAGCGCTGTGAATTTATCGGCCATGCCCTTGAGTTTGAATTTGAGAGCACATGCTATAGGCTTTCAGTCGGTTGTCAATCAGTATGTCACAACAACCATTTTGACGTAACCTTTACAGATGCCACTACGATAAAAAAAGCGAACTACTGGCGTTATCAAAGTAAGAAAGAGATGCGCTACAAAACAGAAAACTAAGGGTGTCTTAATGTTTGTGCGCGGTAACAGGGTAGCCCTTAACCAATCAATGACGAGCCGAGGTAATAACGAGAAAATTCGTTTATATATGAAGACTTTAATGAAGTATTCCTCAGAGCGCATTAGCAATAACTCATTTAGTGCCATCAAATGTAATTACCTTTGTGTTTTCTGTCTGGGCAGCATGCACGTTTCCGCGGAGGAAAATGGAAGTTAAAGCTTTAGGAAGCTACATCGTTTCTTAAGCAGTGCTCACAGATGATCTCGCTGTGCCTTTTAAAAAAAAAAACTCGATCATCTTCATAATGAGTCCTGAACTGGTGGACAGCAGTTTAGATCTTGTTGTCTGTCTGATAAAAAATGTCAGAGCTTCACTAGCGAGAAGAGGAATGAAGATCATCTTTAACGAGTTTAAAATTGAAAACGTTTACATGACATCCTCTTTTTCAGTCCTGTTGTAACATTTTACAAGCAGCCTCATCTATCTCAGTGTTTTCCATTTTGTTTTTGTTTTGTTTTTTGCTGCCTGCACGCAGAATCCTGCACTTGTCTTGTGTGAACAAGCTGCAGTTGGGCAATATTGTGCCTGAAGCAGTATTGATAGACTTCAGAGGAAGTTGCCGATTACGATTGCGGAGGTTGAGGTGAAGACCTTACAGTGTCTCTGTGAATGAAGGTGCAGTAGTTCTACGACTTTCTTACTGACTGTGAAACTCCAGATGGGTGGTAGCAGAAGTGGTGTTCATGTGGCCATACTCCATGGGATTTGTGCGTTCAGTGATCTGAACATCGTTTCTAACCTACTGTTACGCGGACACATCCTTGGACACAGTACGGTAGTGTGACTGCTGGTTATTCGGGGCTCTTGGGTTTGATTCCAGTATGGGCTCCCCTCCGGGTCCAGTCTGCACATTCCCTCTCCATGTCCACATTGGGTTTTCATCAATACCCATTTCCTCCCACCTTCCGAAGACAGGCTGATGAGGTCACGAGGTGTCTGCAAGCCCTGCCTCCATGTGGGTCTACCTGGTGATGGCCTAGAATGGGTTTTAAGCTGTAGTCCCATATTGCACCCTGGGCTCCCAGGACAAATCCCGGGTTGCATCAGCCACGTTTTCTGGTAATGGACGGATAGATAGATAAATCCATCCCCTGTGTCCTGTTCTCAGCTGCGGGGAGGTGAACGTTTGACCATTAAATGCCAACCAAGCATCATCCTCCATGTCTTCAGAGTTCACTAGGGGTCAGAGGTAAGCGGGATTCAGCGCCATCGATTCGTGAGCGAGCAGGCCGTCGCTGGGACTGAATTAGGGACGCGTGTGTACCGCAGGAATGGCGAATATTTCTAGCGGGCATTATTCTATCGTTCCCCCTGAATTCTTGATTGAAGTGCCAGTTTTAATTGAGGTTGTGATGGCATCGAGCGTATATTTAAAAAGCCTTGGTGCTACTTTGTGGGTTCTCTCTATCCATGCATGCTCCTATTCCTCCTGTCAGGTTTGCACTCGTGGAATATTACTGGGAGGCATCAGAGTGGAAATGTAACTGTTCCTGGTTGTCTTTCCACGCTATCTGAGGTGTGCGGCACAGGTTGCAGCGATAAAGGAATTACTTTGTGATTCTAAGCGTCTCCATCTCCTGCTGTTCTTGCATCCCTTCAGGACGCCAGGTGCGATATCACAGTGCTGGCACATGACCCGCACGAGGAGAGTAAGAGAATTCCCTCTCTCTGCCACTGACAGGTTTTTGGTGCTAGGAGTCAGATGCTGTTCACGCGTGTCAGCTCTGTTGTACAAAGTGACATGCAGTATGGTGATTGTGGAGGGGGAGAAACTGTGTGGATTCCTGCAGGAGAGGTGTGTAATAAGTATTTTTGGGTTGATGTCTTTTAGGTAATATTATATTTATTTACAATTTTTTAATGTTTCTTTGTACTATCCGTATTGTAAGTTTCTGTGTGTGCAAAACATAGCTGCTTGGATGCAAAAAAAAAAATAGTGAGGCATGAGGCGATCAATTATTCCTGTCTCACATGAACAAATAGGCAAAACCAAGATTCTTTACATTTTAAACATGACCACAATGCCAGTTCCTTGCTTTCTTGTTAAACAAGCGTCCTTTCAAAGGAATGTGTATAAATACATTAAATACATTGCCAAACAGGACACGTGATCCTTGTGGGTGGGGTCACATGCTCACACACAGACACCCACACGGTGTGAACTGTGAATGGGGCAGGTGACGGGGACGCTGTCTCCTTTAAGACGGCAGAAAACGAGGAACAAATCTTTTATGACATCAAAGACTCGCATCATCGGCAGACTGGCAGCTGCAGTGGAGCCTGCCAGGAAAGTGCTCTTCAGTCCCCAGAACCCTCGCAGTGTCAACACGGCCACATAACCTGCTTATCTGGGAATGGGCATGCCTGTGGTCACGGAGCAGCGGAATGCTCTGGAGCGTCTGGAGGACTATTCCGAGCCTTAGTGTTTCCCACTGGGAGCTGGGAGATCTCTAGCACAAGATTTCTAACGCAAATTAGCCTGCTTCATCTGCCAGCATATCCACCGCGTTTGTAAGTAATTCCGTTTTTAGGTTTCTTTTTATAAGATTCCCGGATGGCGGGGGCGACGGGACTGCCTTTGATGTTCCCAGGCAGCGAAGTATCTGGGGTTGGGAAAGTAAAAAAAAAAAAATTTAGCTGAACAGAATACCATTTTTTTCTTCGAAATGGGGGAAAGAAACAACAGCGAGGCAAGTGGGTTCCAGGGTGTGAACATGTTCCTCGTCGAATGCAGGAGATCGGATTGCTAAACAAAGAGTGGGCTGGTTTGTAATCTGCGTTCAGGGGTTCGGCGAGGAGCATTCCTTTGGCTGGGATGGTGAAAGTGTTTGGTGGGGCTGTTTTAATCCTATTTCGATGTTAGGTGGGGCGGCTTCTCTTGGGGGAGGGATTGTGTACTGAGCCATAAATCCCAGCCAGGGAGTTATTTGCGCAAAAGCTGTGATGTAATCCCCATATCCACAGAGGTACAAAGGTGTGTATCGCTCTGGCTGTATGTTATCTCTAATGGGAACTAAACAGACATGTCTTCTCAAGGTTAGAGCGCTTTCCCTTTGTTCAAAACAGGATGGTTTTGTTTTTAATCAATCGCCGTATTTCCTACCAAACAAAATCTTTAGATGATATTTCGATATCGCTCTTCCCAGTGAGGCAGTATGATGGTTTACTCACCTAGACAGATGTTGCCCACCCTTGTGAAAAACAGGGTGATGCAGGCCTCTGAAGTAGTAGGTTGCTTGTAATCTGTTAAAAAATAGATAAATGCTCAAATTAAAGTACTCCCAGGAAGTTAGTTGCCCCCTCTTTAGCCTCTCTGTCTTTACTGCATCATCCCACCCATCAGCTATTTTCTATAGCCCTGGAGGGCAGTGGTGGGCAGACACGGGGGCCAGGCAGGGCAGGAAACACCCTGGAACACACACACGCACACACGCACACACGCACACACGCACACACGCACACACGCACACACGCACACGCGCACGCACACGCGCACGCACACGCGCACACACACGCGCACACACACGCGCACACACACGCGCACACACACGCGCACACACACACACGTACAGGGGCGATTTAAAGACCTGGTCAGCAGGTCTTTGGACTGTTGGGGGGGGGAGAACTGAATACTCCACACGGAAGATGCCTCCGTCTGGAATCTGACCCAGGAGCTGGGAGGCAACTGCGCTCTCTGCCGCAGAGTTTTTTTTTTTTTAAGCCCCTCCAGCTTCTGCACGGGGCTCCCGTTGTACTTTGCCGCGAACGCTGTTGTAGTGACCCCCCCTGCCCCCCCCTCCCCTTCTCCGCAGCCTGTTTGGAAAGCCCTTTGATGGTGGGAAGCGCATGGAGACGGGCGGCCAGCATCCTGGCCTGCAGCGGCTGCAGGAGGTCCAGCGGGAGGTGCAGGGCCTGGGCAAGCAGGTGGGCTCCTTCAGCGGCCTGCAGAGCGACCGCGAGTACCGGCGGCTGGAGCGCGAGCTGACCCGCCAGCTGCTGGAGGTGGACGCGGTGGACACGGAGGGCAAGGCCGAGGTCCAGCAGGCCCGGAAGCGGGCGGCCCAGGAGGTGGAGGGGCTGCTCCGGCTCCTGGAGGAGAACTCGGCCCACCCCTCCCGCCTGGCCATCGAGGGGCTGAGCCAGGAGGCCCAGCGGCTGGTGGAGGCCGGGGTGCTGGAGCCCCAGAGGGCGGGCGCCGGGGAGATCAGCGACGAGCTGGTGGAGAGCCTGCAGGACCTGGTCCTGCGGCTGACCCAGGTGAAGACGGGCGGGAGGGTGCCCCTGCGCAAGGCCCGGTACCGGGCGCTGACCCGCGTGTGCGCCGTGCAGGACGTGATCGAGGGGCGCACCCGCCGGCAGACCCTGCCCCTGCCGCTGTCCGAGGACACCCACGCGGCCGTGCAGAGGATCAACATGGTGATGGCCAGGGTGAGCCAGGCGCGCAGCGAGCTCATCGCCCTGCTGATGGGCCTGGGCGACGGGGACAGCTGCGCGCACCTCGCCCGCGTGCTCACCGAGCTCCTGGTGGAGCTGGACGCCCTGGACGTGTCGGGCAACGCCGCCGTGAGGAACTACCGCAAGCAGGTGGTGGAGGAGATCCACGGGCTCCTGAAGCACCTGGACCTGGAGGGAGAAGGGGACGACACGTGCAGGTATGAGCCAAAACGACACAAAAGCCAGATCAGTGCAGAGATCCAGATCTCCTTCTGAATTCACTTTCTCATTTCAGATCTGTGCATGAAGGAAATACCTTCAGAATTGCAATACCGGGAACTGTTTTCTTATCCATGCTTGCAAGAATAATTCTCTACTAGCCAAGTTCCTCTTTTCTGCACTTGTGTTCGATAATAGTATTAATGATAATGATGAACAGAGAAGAAAGAAAACACAACGTTTCGTATTGCAGCTGAAGAAGGCTCCACAGCCGAAACGTTGTGTTTTCTTTTTTTCAGCATGGAATAAACCCATTACTTGTTTCTTTGCAGCCTACGCATGCTGACACAATGGTAATGATAAGAATAAAAATTGATGATAATGACGATAGCAAGAATCTAATCTTTTTACCCCAAGCAAACAGTTAAGCGTTGAATTTAAGCTCTCCGGTTGGCTCTCCCGCTGCTGGCGCTCTTGCAGGTACGACCTGGCCCAGAACGACTCGATCCAGCAGATCGAGGTGCTGCGCGGCCGCGTGGCTCAGCTGCGCCGGCAGCTGATCAGCCAGGACAGCCCCGGGGAGCTCGGCTTCAAACCCAAGGCGGAGCTGCAGGGGTTCCTGACGCAACTGGACGAGGTCAGCACGGCGCGCAACCCCTGCATCCGCGAGGCGCGCCGCCGCGCCGTGCTGGAGGTGCAGGCCGTCATCACCTACATCGACCTGCGGGAGGCGCTGGTGAGGCGGCTGCCCACCGCCGAGGAGCACCCCTCGCAACGCGCCGTGTGGCAGGTGCTGGCCAGCCTCTCCGAGCTGCAGGGGCAGGTGCTCAGCTTCGACGGCAAGCGAGCCGACAAGAGCTACATGGTGCTGGAGGAGATGCTGACCAAGCAGCTGCTGGCCCTGGACGCGGTGGACCCGCAGGGGGACGAGATGTCGAAGGTCGCCCGCAAGCAGGCCGTGAAGTTCGCCCAGAACATCCTCGGCTACCTGGACATGAAGACGGACGAATGGGAGTACTGACCGCGGCCACTTGCGGTGGTCTGTCTCTCTCGTTTGGTTCGCAGTCCTCTCTCCCCTCATCTTCATATCGCAAAGAGATGGATCAGGCTGCAGGAGGACATGACGGAACTAACTGGTTTGTGGCTGGGGATGGTAACATGATGATGACGTCTTTGTTGCTGTTACAAGATTCAGGGGAAACATCTGGCTCTGGAAAGAGGCTGTTTTTTTTTTTATTCCAACTTTACAGACATGAATACAAGCAAATTGTTCCTCTGCGTTAAGAGTTCCATAAATCTCCAGTCCGTTCCGAAAGACTGCGTTTTTTAATTGTGGCGTTAGTGTGGTGCTCTAACCCATGAACAGAAGTGTGACGTGGAGCTTCTAAGCGTTTCTCTTTCTGTCTGTCTGTTTGGTCAAAAAAAAAAAAGTCGTCGTGAGATATACAATTGTGATCTGGTGTAAAACTGTTAGAAAAAACACAAAGAGGGGAAAGAGGAGGAATTCCATATCTTCAGAACCTTTACAGGGAAAGCATCTCAGTTTTGGGGGGAAACAAATCAGTTCTCCAGCAGAGAAGAGTTAGTTGCTAGTAGCTCTCTGTCTGTTGTTTTAGTTGTACTGGTAGTGAACTTCCCTTTAGTTCATCAGCAGCTCTGCCAGACTGCCAGCACATCTCGCCAGTAGCCTGCAGACAAGCCAGCAGATTATGGGGTCTCCGAAGACATGCTCTGAGATCTAATCTACATCCTGTTACCTGAAGGCACAGCAGACTCTAGCAGAACTCTAGCAGAGCCGTTCAAGGTGAATGGAAATTGACTTCCACTTCTTACAGCTTCACAGCCCAAGAGGAGGAGAGGTGAGGGTCATTGTTAGATCTCCAACTTGTGTCTTTACTTCACAGGTGATGTCTCAAGATATGGGTGACTATAACCTCTGTAAGTAATCACCTTCGGAGAAGAGCCGAAGACATGTTAATTCATCTTGAATTTTTTTCTTATGCTTAGTTTAGTCATTACTACAGAGAACTATTGACCAATTCATTTACTAAGCATCTAGACCGCTTTAGTTCTTAAAGCTACTTTAATTACATTGTTTTGTACATGATATTTCACAGCAAGATTCAGCAGCTCACTCACTGAGTCCTAGTTTCTGCTGACTGATTCACGATTTGTATAAATCGTGATTCAGTCAGAAGGAACAAGGAATTGATGATCAGTCAATCGTGAACATTTTAGATTTAAAAACATCTCCTTTTGCATTAGCCAAAAAAGGAGTTTTCTTGTTCAAGAAAAGAAAAGGGTGTAAAAAAGTGAGTGAAGTGAAATCCGTCCCTAGCAGAGCTTGGTTGAATCCAAGCTCTCCTGGGGACTGGTATTTTCTGTTGATATTTTTTTACTTTTGTTTGTGATGTTTGTGGCTAACATGAAAGTCTCCATTGGGTGTAACTCGGAAATAACTAAAATGAAGGACTTCCCTGTTATTGACTAATTCATCGCTTTTTTTTTCTGTTGTGTCATTTCATGGAAGCAATTCGCTGAAGTTTATATTTTCATTTTTGAAAAAACAAGACTATAACCAGGGTTCGTCTGTTGCCATAGTCACTGATGTTTTGTGGCTGTGGGGTACGGTGTTTGGGACTGCTGCCATGTCAGAGAGTGATTGACACAAGATTTCAGATATTCATTGTATCGACAGACTATGAATGGGTTTTATAAAAAATGCCCAGTTCTGTGCCTTTCTTTCTGCCCATGCTTCTGATGGCTCTTTCGCTGCTTGTCGAGTAAGCACAGTATAATCCACTGTGGCAGGGAGGCTGAGTGGATATTAAGTGTCCTCACTTTAATGCACAGAGAGGGAGGGAACTGTCCTTTGAATTATTTAACACAAGCACAAGACAGAGAAGCAGTAAGAGGGAAACAGGACTCCATATCTGACGCTATGCTTTCTGGACAGGAAGCATTGTATGTTGTATAGAGAAACTCTGGGCTCTGCACCTGTTGCTGGAATCATGCACCATTTTTGTGTGGATTCTGCACCGATGGTCATCAGGGGAATGACTGGGCACAAGCTAAAGGAAGCGCACCTCCCAGTGAAGGCCAGCTGTGCAGCGGTCAGCCGCATCTCGCTGCTTAGCTCTAGACATACCCTGTGAACCTGCACACGCTCGGGCAGGCCGAGGTGGCCTTCAGTTTTCACTGCATGCAAGGCTGCTGCTTTTCTCTTCCCAGAGTTAATGAGCTAGCTCCGAGGACAGCAGGCTTGCAGAGCCCCCCAGAGGCTTCATTACCTGTGCGGCTCCACACACACATTATGGTGGTCCTTTTTTAAACTGATGAACCTGTGAAAGACACCAACATGTCCGTATGGTCCCTGCAGGGAGAGAGCTAGGTTTACCCAGTCTATCTTCTGCTGTGATGGGAGGCTAGCAGAGCTGTTCCTACAGGCTGGAACTCGATCGATTCGGGGGGGGGGGGTTTCCCCATCTTGTGCAGCAACAGCTTTTTCTATAGATCTGCAAGTTCCAGTATTGGCACAAGTTGTGTGTATTTGGTTACTGTGGCTTTAATTCTATCAGCTAGGATGAATCAGTGTTCTATAAGCTCCAAAATATGTTATCGCCAAAAAAAAAAATGCATCATTTGATGATTCATTTTAAGTGCTGTCTCAGCTTTATCTCTTGTCGTCTCTTGTTGGGTGGGAGCTAATGTTTTCGTCTGCAGCTGGACCTCTGTGGTTTCCTGTAGGAGTACATGGTGCTGTTCAGAAACCCGACTGAAAAACAACGGTACACGACAAGATGTGCACGATTGCTAATCTTAACAAACCTGCTATTGTATTTATATACAGCACCTTTAACTCTGCATGCAGATTCGGTTGTGGATTCCTTAGTAGTTGTTTTTTTTATTATTATTATTATTAATAATGGATTTGCCCGCTCATGAGAGTACAATGGGGGTTGCTGTGGAGTGGGGGAGTTCTGTGGGGATTTATATCCGCAGGATTAGATCGACATCTGTCATGATGACAACTCGTCCCTGATTATTTCAAGCCTCTGCCTTTCTTCTAATTATAGTGCAGATTCTGAGGGTTGTTTCATCATGTCTGGGTGACATGTGGACACGGTATAAGCACCACAATCACCCCCTCCCCCCTCCCCCAGTCCCTGAACAACGAAGAGCCGGGAAACTTTTGTGAATGTCAGTATGGAGGCATCGCTTCTCCTGGGTGGCGGTCGTTCACATTGGCCACAGTGAGGCGAGGTTACTGTAGACGGGGGGCCGAGACGGGTAGGTGACTATCCAGCAGGCAGGGACTGAGAAACCCCAAGCTCGAGTAGTAATTGGCACCGACAGCTTAGTTTGAACTCTCCCGCCTTCGAGTGCCGCCACCGCCCTCTGGGGATAAGAAAAAAAAAAACAACAACAACAACAACAACAACTAGAATGTCGTTCCAAAACAAAAACAAAAAAGTCAGTGTAGTGTTTCCAAGCGCCAAAGCGACTTCGGCCAGGAGTTTCATTCGGTCCTGTTTCTGGCGGAGGGTGAAGGCGGCTCTGAATCCGTGTGAAAAGGGCCCTGTGATGTATTCGTTTCCCGCGGATACAACTCTGGGTGCCGGGAATCGCTCGGACATCACTTCCCCCTCGTCTGTTTCCATACATGCTCATACATACATACAGCTGGGGAGGAGTCGGCGCTCTCTGATGGCTGGAGACGAGCTGTCAGGCGGGCTCGATCGTGGGGAGATAGATTCCTGCTCTGTGTCCAGTGTACTAATAAAAGTGTCTTAATGTTGCGAAACAAGATGCAGTGTGGTATGATGTGTGTGTGTGTATATATATACCGTGTATATTGACTGCCCTAAATTGGAAACGAAAAAAGATGTAAATACTATCCAGCAGTAAATATATAATTTAACAAGAAAAAAAAAGTCCACGGTCTTTTTCTTTATTTCTTGCGTTTGTTTGATGATGATGGTGATGATGATGATGATGGAGTTTGGACCCTCTGCATGTTAGTGTTAACCTGGTGGATGGGAGTTCCCGGGGCAAATACTTCAACAGTGATGATGGCAACTCGGGGAAAATCGCCGCTGAAGCTCAGGGCCGGGTGATACGAAGGTTCCCACAAGGGGGCAGTGTGAGCTTGGATTTGTAAGAGTATCGGGATTGCACAAAGACTTTTTTGGGGGGACAACAGGACCATCGTTTTAGCTTAAAGTTCTAATACATTGGCCTTGGGGGGGATGTCTTCATTGCACCGGTTGTAAAAATTACACAATGTTTTCTCAACTGAGTGATTAAATTAAATTCTGATCAGGTGATCAAACACACACTGGCAGATTGATTATTCATTAATGCACTCAGTTTGGAAACTCCACGAGAGCATCCAAAATACAAACTCACAGGAGGTGTAGTAAAAAAAAAAACTGTCCTCCACACACCATTTCAATAGATATAGAAGCAGATTTTTAACGAAGCCCTGTCTGTGGGTTGTCTACCTTTCTATATGCTGTTCTCCCTCCCTGCAGCCATTGGTACGGAAAATCTTTCCTCTCAATTTCAGCGCCTCTCTCTGGCAAAGCTTAAACAGCGGGAAGCAAAACCTTGAAACGATATATTCTTTAAAAGTCAGGTTCCGAAATCTAGAAAGCTCTGGGACACAATGCACATCCACAAAAACATTCCTGGCCCAGAAACCCCTGATCACAATGGTAGAGACTGGTTCACAAAGAGAGTGACAGAAACACATCTTTCAGAGACGTGTGGCACGCTGACAGCCAACTGTGGAGCGCAGATTGGGGGGGTGGGTGAGGAGAAGCCCTCTGCTTACCTTAGTCCTGTCCTCCCCCCTAGTGGCAGTGTGTTGGGGAATGGGGATAAGTCCATTTCCCAGCTAGACAGTGGACCATTGTGCCCAGCAAGGCTCTCTCTCTCTCTGGCGCAGAGCGACTCTCTCTCTCTCTCTCTCACCCCGAGAGTAGCATTCTGCTGCCAAAACACCCTCTTTCCTAGAGCAGCCGGAAAACACTCGGTACTCCGTGTCCTCACCACTCCACAGAACAACAAGCCTCGCTGTCATCTGTTAGGAAATTGTGCAGAAGCACTAAAAAAAAGGATTAACAAGGGTAGGTTGTATCGCCAAGAGTTCAGAAAACAAAGTGGGAGAGGTTCAAATTGGACAGTGCCGTTTCTTGAGTTAATATTTATGCTACTGTATTTAGAACGTCGAGCACAACTTTGGACTTTCAAAATTCTGGTCACTGTTGCAGTAAGGCTACTGCTGCTCTGTTGTCGATCCAGAGAAGAGCAGCCAGGTTTATCTTGGTTACCTCTTACTCCATTGAAAAGGTGAAAGGAAGTGGCCTATGATCGCAGACAAGAAGCGTTCTTCAATAGAGACAATTACGAGGGGACTGGTCCCAGATTCGTGTAGCCAGAATCCCTGAAGGATTAGGTTAGGTTTTCTTCACAGTCAACAGTGAAACACAAGTGCTCCACGTTGAAATGCATTCAAAACTCGGTGCAGAAAAGAAATTCTTTACACAAAGGATTGTGGGAGTCTGGAACGAGCTAGCCAGGCTTGTTTCACGATACAAAAAGAAGCTCGTGCCGTTGCTCACAGATCCTTTCGAACGAGCAGGTTGCGCTGAACAACCTCCTCTCTCGTTTGGAGCGTTAGGTTTTTGATCAAAGTGCTTGTCATTTAGCGACAAGGACACCTCTGTGACTCAGTGCATGGTGCCGGGTGCTAACCTTGACCTCTTGACCAGCCCTGTGATCTTACCTCGGCCCGGCCGCTCAAGTCTGTTCCCAAGCTGCCGTAGGTGCGCGCTCAGGTTGCCACCAGCAGATCACTTTGACCTTCCGCATCCAACCAGCAGGCCAGCAGCTCAGTGGCCCCCTCACAGCTGCGTCACTCTCCCTGGGTCCTTACAGCCCAGACGTGTAGGGGGCCCCGAGAGACCTTTTTCACAAAGATTCCTACATGTGGCCAGTAGGGGGAGACAAGTGCCAAGGCCTTCCCAGGAGCAGCAGCCTGCAGCCTGCAGCCTGTCTGTAATGGTAATGACTGTCTGAAGTGCACCACATCCTTGAGAGAAGGAGGAGGAGTGCGCTTTTCACTGGGCCAGGCATGACTTTGCCTTTGCCGATATGACTAGTCAAATTCTAGTAACAGAACTAATTACTATTAGTAATAGAACTATTAGTAATTAGTAATAGAACACCTGAAGAAGGCTCCACGGCCGAAACGTTGTGTTTTCTCTCTTCTCTTTTCAGCACAGGAATAAACCTGTTACTTGTTCCTTTGCAGCCTACACATGCTGATGCAGCTCCCCACCTGAAGTTCTAGTAATATTCGGGCTGATCTCGTTCCCGGCGATCGAGACATTGGGAAAGTCGATAACAGGTTAATACTGAAGGATGCACCCTGCACACTAAGTGTGCTCCTTAGTATTGCAATGTTGACCCCCTCCCCCCCGGCTCTGTCACTGTCACCTGTAACAAGCTGCAATGCAACCACTTGTGCATGTGCGCAAATGGTGCTTTCTGAGGCTCCACACACTGACAAAGCAATAGCGCAGCCATCTGCCTCTCTGCCTCTCTGCCCCTCCCCCCACCACTCTGTCGGCCGCGCCCCGTCGAAGTGCCCATTGAGAAAACGAGCGCCGGCGACCGGCCTGCCTTTGTGAAGCCGGAGCGAACCCCCCGGACCTGCGGTCTCCGTGGCAACGGCGGCAGGAGGGCGCTGCCCCAGTTTCTGCGCCTTTTCGGTTCCGGAGCCGCAGCCTCTCGGCGAGCCCCTCGGTCCCGAGCAGACGGGCTGCCTCAACAGCAGGACGGACACACGTGTGGCGCGACGTAGCCGAGCGTTACATAACAGGCGTCACATGCGGATGCAAACATTTCATTGGCTTCCGCGCGACACGACTGTCAACAGTTCGCCTGTTCTGTATTTTTTTTTTTTAACTTTTGGATTGTGTTTCCTGCTCTTGCAAACACAGCCCCACTTTGACGAGCAGCTGGAGCTCTCCCGTCCGCCTCGGGAGATGCGTGTGCGCCTTGCCGAGCTATAACTGAGGGGTCCGAAGGCACCGCACGATCATCGCGCGGCAAGGAGATGCGGACCGATGAGAGAGGGGGGAAGTGTCTGCCTGTTCCTCCGCAGGAGTCGGCGTCCCACCCCTCCCAGGAAGAGTGCCGGGGGGAAGCAGAGGGAATCCCGGCACATACACCCCACTCCCCCCTCCCTCTTTCACGTGCAGAGCCCCGTGCCCAGAGCCTGGAGCCCGCCCGCGCAGAGAGCTGGACCTCTGATCTGCTTTGCAGTGAGCTCACGTTGCATGCCAGCCGGCCGGCCGGGCTCGGAGACAGCGGCAGCCGTGCCTCTCGGAGAGAGTGAGGTTTAACCCCTCCAGGGGCAGGAGGGACAGGAGCAGAGCCCCCCTCCCGACCTCCTCTGCCCTTAACGAATTGCGACGTTAGCGATGTTGAAAGGGGCCTCACAGTCACTGATGCCTAATTCAGGATGAAAAAAAAAAACAACGGGTAGATTTGTAAAAGAAGATCCATTCAAATGAGTGGCTTCTAACTTATTTGAGGTCACATTTGCCCCTCGGGGGGGCAGTGAGGCACTGTCCCAGGTCTCTCCTCTCTTACACTTGTCATGCAAATCCCTCGAGACCCCTACAAAGACCCCAGCAAGGGCAGCAGGACTGAAAAGAATTCCTAATGCTGGGGGGGATGGTGTCATCCTGCGCCCTTCGCTCTCCAACGCCTTTTTATAGGCTGCCAATAAGCCCTTATTGCAGGGAGCAAAGCGACAACAGCGCTCAGATCCCACCTCAGCCACGCGGGACGTGGGAGTGCAGAGAGCTCTCCTGCTCTCCGATTCATTCTTACATACTGTAGCTTCAAGCAGGCTTACTCATACCTACCCAAACAACGCATGACCTTGAGGGGGAACTTCAAAACCATCCCTGCAAACTCTTCGACAAGTGGCGTGGGCAGTTATTTCTGCATGCTGCACAGAGGAGATGAAAGCCTCCCGCCCCACCTCTGAGAGCTAGAGAAGCAGTGTACTTGTCCAGCGCTCCTAAGACATCACCTTCGGAAATTTTTATCAGCACAGCGCTGGAATGAAAGCCAGCTTCTGCCAGCTGGTTACCATAGAAACGGGGATCGCTTCTGCCTCAGTGGCCTTTGGGTTTCTAGCTGGTTTGTCTGTCTTTGGAGTGGGGTGCTTAACTGCCCAGCCCCCAGAACCCCACCAGTTCGCTGGCTCCAAGGAGGCCAGCCTGTTCTAGATCCATGCCCTCGAACAAACCGCAGCCCAGTGTGAGCACCAACACCGGCCGACTGGCAGATGAACAAGAATCCAGGGCAAGGTGCCACAAGATCAAAAACACTCAGAGCAGCGCCAAGACACGAAGCACAGGGAGCCCGTAAATAACCCCCACCCCCTGTGGGACCTCTGGCCCCCATTCATTCTCAAACTCATATTCTCAGCCCTTCAGATGTAAACCCGTGCCAAGGAGAATTAAAACGGTCATGGCTGAGGCACACGAGGCTTCTCCTTCTCTTTCACAGTCCAGTGGAGAAACACTGGGCCCCGACCACAGCTTGTTCTCAAAGGGCCCACGACATCTATGTTATTTGAGGGCAAACGGCATGGCGCCCGATCACACGTCCGCCCCCTGTCGGCCTCCAGCAGAAATCTAGTCCTCCTTTTGCTGGGGAGGCGGGGCAGTCCCACCGCGGGAGGAAACCTGAACTTGAACTCGATGAAACCAAAACCACGTTTCAAAAATCCACACTCCTGTTTCCTTACAGACGGCAATCGAGAAAACAAGAACATGTAAAAACGCCATCCAATTCCCTTTCCTAAAATAGCCGAGAAAACTACGACATCATTTATCATGACATCTAG